GTGTGTGTGTGTGTGTGTGTGTGTGTGTGTGTGTGTGTGTGTTTGTGTTGAGCTGACCAATTTTTCAATGCCGCTGCTATCATATTCCTGTTTGCTTTGTCAAACGCTGCCTGTTTTTATTACCTGCTTCTATCGCCTCCTAACAACAACGCATGACTTTGTGATTGCTCTCAAGCTCTCTGTGCAACCACAAAGGGTTAGAGACACACACGCACAAACACACACATACATTAAGCCACACACACACACACACACACATTTTGCTGGATCAAACGAGGGGTCATCAGAGGGGTTAATCCCGGTTTGGTACGGTCCCCACTGGTGACTGACACCATACAGTGTGGTTAACAGGAGGGAATATTCCATCTGATTGCACTTATTAGGGGGAACTGACCTGTACCAAGACAGGGGCTCTCTTAAGGGGACGAGTACTTCGTCACGTTGTACTGTCTGATTCAGATTATTGACTATCCAGGCATGACTCCTCCTCCTCCTCCTCTGCTCGACAATGCTTTCCTTCCACTTGTAGTCAAAATCCTTCCTCATGAATGCACGCTGGCATTCATGTGTCTTTATTCATCCTGCAGGTTGGGTAATATCAGAGTGTTTCAACAGTTTGACGGCCCAGCTGACCTAGAAATTATATAAAGGAAAGGGGGAGGGACATCAGCAGTTATTGATGCTACATATTGTTAAATACTGTAGAATGGACTCATTTTTGCACTGTTTCTCAGGTCTTATCTGCTATGCTGCGTCTCCTTGATTTTCATGTTTTGATTTAGTGCTTTGTCTCCTGAAAAATGTCCTTGTATACACTGAAAAAGGGTCGGGCAGTATGCTGTTATCTCTTGTGCTCAGTTTATTCCAGCGCAATACTAGAAGGTTAGACGGTGTCGTCTTGTCGTGTTCTCATGTCGTCAAATAGCAATATCAAGATGCCTTCCTTCTGTTGCATTGCTGGATATGAGCAACCAGCTGCATGTTGCAGTTACACCACTTCCCTTTGTGTCCAGCAGAGGGAGCTCTGTCAACACCTTTGACACAACACAGCTGGGCTCTGGCAACCAGCACTCTGTGCCTTCCTTCACTCACACTGCCCCATGAGCGCCATTAAAGAACCCACCTGCCAGCGTTGTTAAGTGTGCTTTGATTAATATCTTCTCCACAGGTGCACCACCTGGTGTCGGGGTTTCACTGCAGGTTTATAGATCCCGAAAGAGCCGAGTACGTCAATTTAGGCGATATTGGATGGCGCTCTGCTCCATCGGCATCCCTCTCTTTCTGCTCCTTGGCTGGAAGTTGATGTGTCTGGTGTGTCACACAAGGCGCTACGGTGCACTCCACCGATCAGACTGCACAGGGCACCCGCTAGGGGTCCATGAGCGGTTGTCATGGTAACAGGCAGTGAGGTTGGCATGAGCTGAGATGAAGGTTTTTTTTTTTTTTTTTTAAATTTTAAATTTATTTTCCTCCTTTAGATCCTTCCTGCTATGTGGGTGCGATCTGTATACATGTGTGTAATCATCAACCTGTGTGTGTGTGTGTGTGTGTGTGTGTGTGTGTGTGTGTGTGTGTGTGTGTGTGTGTGTGTGTGTGTGTGTGTCTGTAGATGGAGCAGGTATCAGACGATGAGCTGGACCACGGAGCGGAGGAGGACAGCGATAAGGAGGACCAGGACCTGGACAAGATGTTTGGTGCTTGGCTTGGAGAGCTGGACAAGCTGACACAGGTTAACACACCCCCACACACACACACACACAATGAAAGGGTGGTTGGTTACATAGACACACACTCACACAGGTAGAGGAGCAGGGAGAAAAGGGCTGTATCCATAGCAACCTTAACACTGCTAATCCTGTCTCACTTTACTGTATCCTAGCAACTCCCCTCCCACCACCACTTTGTATTGTGTAATCGTGCAGGTTTGTGTGTGTGTGAGCACACACGAGCAGGCAGAGATGGTTGCTTAGATCCTGTGCATTGACTGTGATGTCAGAATATGTGTGGTTTTTGCATATGTGTACCTCATGCTTTGCCTGTGTGTGTGTGTGTGTGTGTGTGTGTCTGTGTGTGTGTGTGTGTGCGCGCTCTGTAGAGTCTGGATGATGGCAAGCCTCAGAAACCGCTGCAGAAGCCTCCTCTCAGGCAGGAGACGAACATGGCCAACTTCTCCTACCGCTTCTCCATGTATAACATAAACGGTGAGTCTTCACTCATCTGATCCCGATCTGTTTAACAGCACAGATGAAAGAAATCATTAAACCCCCCCCCCTTCTCTGTGCTTCCTCTATCCTTTTTATCTTTGCTCCCTGCAGAGGCGTTGAACCAGGGCGACACAGTGGACCTGGACGCCCTGATGGCTGACCTGTGCACCATTGAACAGGAGCTCGATACCATTTCCAAACCAAACTCGGCCTCTCGCGGCCAGAACAAAGGCCAGCAGCGGGCCCCTGGGGGCCGCAGTGCCAGCACCAAGCACACAGGCACCAGCGGAGGAGGAAGCAGCGGAGGTAGTCCCGCTCAACCATTTGCATTTACAGTGGAGCTTCATGTATTATTTGAGCAACAATAGAAATCATTACTCCACTCCTAAAACTGTATATAATCATTGTAAGCAAATGATGCCAAACTCTTTTACATAGCGCCACACATTGCTGGGCTCGGATAATGTTTGGACTCTGAAGCACAATAGAGGGATGCTTCATGGACTAAAACAGGAAGATGTCACTCTTCTTCTGGTGCTGAAGAATGTGAAAGAAAATCTCTTCAAACATGTTTTTCCTTTTTACCGAAGCCATATCAAACGAATGCAGAGTAATGATGTAGTGGAGGAAAGGGGGAACAATTAGCAGCATCCTGTTTGCAGCAGGGAAATGTAGTCTTTAACACAAGCTACGACTACACTGGTATAATATAAATGCAGCCAGTCGTTTTTACTGTTGTCTCATTTAGTTAATAATCGTAGAAGTGTTTCCTAACAATCTCACCTAATATATGTTGTTATTCAGTGTGGCTTTGTGGCACAAGGCAGTAAAACTGCCTGTGCCAAAGCACACTGTATATTATCCATCGGGCTTAATAATAATAATCATCATCAGCTTTATCCAAAAGTTTGGCGCACCTCTCCTCACACAGCGTTGCCAACAGCGGCGTGAAAAATACATCAAAA